AACGGAGTCGCAAATCTGTGTCATCAACAGGCAACAGTTTTCTGGGAATTGGTCATGTCGTTTTTTTAAATAACAACCAATACATTTTTTTTTTTTTTTTTAAGCAAACAAAAGCGGCAGACTGTAGAAGGTTTAATAGTCGAGATCAGTGGTTCTTAACCTGGGTTCGGTGAGTCGGTCTCAGGGGTTCAACGGAGCCTCTGCCATGGAGGGCAAGACACCCGACTCAACACGTCAATTAGTTATGACACGCCCACTTAGCCATCACTGGCTGCAGATGATCACATGACATTGCTTGTCCAATCAGTGCTGTGGGAAATTTAGTTCGCTTAGTAGTCCACGTGCGACTGCCGTGATAGTCCGTCCAACAATTAAAAAACAAATAAATAAATAAATAACGTACACTTATCCCTTGAAATTTTATCTACTTTTTTCTGTTTTTAATATTCGCGTTTTTTTTTTAATCTCTTAAATTTGTAATATATATATATATATATATTTTTTTTTTCACTCATGAAGGGTTCGGTGAAAGTGCATATTAACTGGTGGGATTCGGTACCTCTAAAAAGGTTAAGAACCACTGGTCTAGATTATTATGATATCAAAATGCCAATGGCATATTTCAGGTGAGAGGCTGTTTAAATGGCACTGGCTGAAAGTTGTGTTGACACACCATGTAATAACATTCCTAATGCAGGCAAATAATGTTCTTTTCTTAATAGAGCACAAGTACGACCTGGAACGCATGTTAAATATTTGACTGGCCCTGCGGTGGAGACGTAACCCGAATTTGTCCTGCGGTGGAGACGTAACCCGAATTTGTACTCAAGTCGAAGCTTAGCATCAGTAACTATCAGTAACCTACGATAGTGCAGTATTAAAGTCCTAATTATAATAAACATTCATATGAAAATAGATGATAAGTAATGCAATTGACGTCGATCACTTTGGAAAGGGTTACAAAGTTCATTCAAGATCGCAAACAGTCACAAATATGTTTGCCAACAGTTTTAATGGTTGCAAGTAGTTTTTCTTCTACAGGAAATTCTGAACATGTTCAGCATGTTAATCTTTCTTGTGGAAATAGTTTATAGTACTGTAGAGCGGACACCTGCATACCTGTGGTTCGGCAACTATTAATATGCAGTACTTCTATGCTTGTTGAGGAATGTTTTGGGTTTAAAAAAAAATAACGTGTTTTTTTTTTTTCAATGCAATTATAATGGCCGTCAATTACTTGAAGGCTGTTTATTCGCAGCCTGGCTTGGTCTCTATCTCCTGCACAGAGTGGGGAAAAATGTATCTCTAATTGATTTTTTTTCAGTTCTACAATACATCCATCCATTTTTGAATCAGCTTATCCTCATGAGGGTCGTTAACCTGCCATGCATGTTTTTTTGAATGTGGGAAGAAACCAGAGTACCCGGAGAAAACCCACGCAGGCAATGTGGGAGAACATGCAAACTCCACACAGGAAGGCCGGAGCGCGGAATTAATCCCATCACCTCTGCACTGTGAGGTGGACGTTCGGACCAGTCGACCACCATGCCGCCTTAATTCTGTTATTATTATGATTTCATTTGGAGTACCAACTATTTACCAATCCGATACGTTCTCATTTTGGCAGCATAGTAGCCCACTGGTCACTGATGGCGTAGTTGTTCACTCGTCTGACCTCCGTGCCGGCAACATGGATTCAGTTCCCGCTCATTGACGGTCTGAGTGTGAATGGGCGCTGTATGGGCCTTGTGATTGACTGGTGGCCAGTTCAGGGTGCAGTCAACTGGGGTCAGCTGCGGCTCACCCTCGACCCCGAACATGATAAATCTAGAAATGAATGCGTGGATGATGGCAGACTGGTCATCATTTTTGGCTCACAGAAAGAAGATGCCCTGTTTGGCTCCAGCGTGACTGACTTGAAGACCTGACTTTAGGGCAACCTTTGCTTGTGGATTTTGCATCTTCAAATCACAGATTTTTCCTTCAATTGCTCCAAAGTGATATGGCAAGGTGTCAGTTCCATTCCATTGCCCAAGGTGCTGACACATGACATGACTGCCCACTAGTTCTTGGGGATGGGTTAAATGCAAAGAACACCTTTTGTTGTGGAAAGCCCAAAGTTAAAAGGTAATGAATCCTTTTTCCACGTGCCACCTAATTCAGTCTATTTCACCATGCCTATGTTTTGTAAAAAGGAGACCGTGAAGAAAGTAGAACATCAGCGGTCTCCAGAGCCACCTTTCCTGCAATTACGATGCAAGGATAATGCAACTATACGGCTTATAAAACAACAAAGTAGCATTCTTGAGGTGTCATTTCCATACTAACATTCCTGAATCTCAGTGTTAACATGACTAATGACTCCCTGCAAGGTTGAAAAGGAGAGCGAGATTCAGATGCGGCAATGAGCCTGTTGCTCAATGAATCATCAAATGACTGTTGATGGTTTAATCACATGCAGTGATACATTCAAACACAAAATGATTCATACATTTTAAGTTAAAAGGGATTTTTAGTTGGTGAATGGGTATCTTTTGTCTGGAAATGACGCAGGAAAGTAGGAAGTGATTAAGATAAGGAAGAAACTCAAGCACCATTCCAAATCATTCTGGCACTTTCCAGCCTAATCTGAAAAAGTCATTCCAGGACTGGTGTCACAAAAGATGCATTTCATATTCTAACTGCAACATTTCCTAGCTTTCTCGGTCGTGCCTCCATGCACTCCTGAAAGGATTCTTCGAGGATCCTCTGCTGTGCCATCATCACGGCTATCTTGATGTCGGTTTCAAAAGAGGTCGGTCCCCTTGTTGGCCCTCATGAATTTGGAGGAAAAAACGAGAAACAAAAATCACTCGTCGGCAGGTCACGTGAGTAAGGAGGTTGCTCCACCATGGCAACACTTTTCTCATTCAGGACCTGTCAGATGCTCAGGGTACAATGAGCAGGCAGGCACAACCAGGAATTTCGGGAAAATATGTTAATTTTCCAGAACGGGCAGTGTATTTCCGGGCCAGTACTTGGCATCAAAGCTGCTAGTAGACGCCCCCCCCCCCCGACCCCACCATCAACATGTTACGGCGCCACCCCTCCCCCCCATGCCGCCGACATGCGATGCGCCACATGACGGCCCGTCGACGACAACCTTTCGGCACATGACAAACATACCCCTGTCAGCGATAACTTTTCAGCACATGACTGCCGCACGGCAACCGCCCCTCCATCCTCCGTCGAGGATTATTTTTTGCCGCGGGTCAACCGCCATCCACAAATATTCCAGGGCCAAATTTTGGTCCCAGCACGTCCCTGGGCACAACTCTCGCCCCCTCTTGTGCACTAACGAAGCAAACGCCGCAGTTTTATTGTAGCCGTGCTAGTCAATTGGCTGACCCACATTCAAGGGTAAAATTTGTCATTGGAAAGGTCAGCATAATTTGGGACTTGGAACATTTTGTCAGATTATGAAGAATAACAGGACAGTATTAGCTTTTTATACCACTTTTAATGTTTTGCCACTTGCTTGGGTCATTTCCACCCCCAAAAATACATTCATTTGAATATGTGACCATTTTGAACAGCATGGAATGCAAAAAACAAGCGAAGTGCAGCCAGTTTGCAAATGAAACAGAATGTTTTATGGTGGCTTAACTGTAACAGGCAAATACAAACATGAGTAAGCAGCAATGGTTTTTTTTTAAGACCAACTATGAACACCAAGGATGCTTTTAGGCCCGCTGAATGTGATTGCATCTGTTTTGCTTTTGCAAACTTCCCCCATCATGACATGACAAGGAAGCCATTTTACAATGACAGCTCTTTCATGATGTGTTAGGAGATGTGACAAATCAACAGGGAGCTCTTACTACCTCTTCTGATCTGACACCATCATGGTACATGCATAACTATCAATCACAAAGTGCATTGAGAGGTCACAAAGCAATGGAGTAACTGACAGACCGATGGCGGGACTAAACACAAGCCCAGGTTTTAACCAGTGAGAATCTTGTTTTAAGAAGGCCACAACTTCGACGGAGCCTTAACCGAAAGACAATATTGATCAATTTTACTATCCAGCGATCATTTTCTATAGTGACTGTCTTATTAGGGTCACAGGTGAACTCAAGCCCATCCCAAACAACTTTTGAGACCAGAGGTGGAGGGCAGCCCTGGGTTGATTACCAGTCAATTGTTGAACTTTTTTTTTTTTTTTTTTTTTTTTTTTTTTTTTTTTTTTTTTTTTTTTTTTTTTTTTGCAGTTCTATTTAAGAAGAGCACCTCCACTTTCCTTTAAAGCAGCTACATCCTTAAAAAAGCTTAAAATTGTTCATTAGAAGAGATGGATGATCGAAACAATATCAGGAATCAATACCCGCAATCACTTTTTCCTGCCAATTTGACATTTTCTTGACTGACCAAAATGGGAATTTTTCCACCCATCCATCCATTTTCTAGTCTGCTTTTCCTCAAGAGGGTCGCAGGCATGCTTTAGCCTATCCCGGCTCACTTTGGGCAGTTGGCGGGGTACACCCTGAACTAGTTTGCGAGCCAATCACAGGGGGGATTTTTTTCTATATTCCTAATTTTCCTTTTTTACATTGTATGGTGAAAACATAGTAAGGGTTTTCGTTCTCTTACCCACGTTGAAATCTGTAATTTTATGATAGCCTTGTTTCACAACAATATATAAATGCTTCAAAATGTTCACTAAGTTTAAAAACGTAGTTAAGAGAAGCAGCAAATGAAATAATAACCTGCTAGCCAAAAACTGCGCTCCAATACCCCAAATAACACATTTAAATCAATATCCAATTCCATGTCCAGCAGATATTTAAGCAATATACAAATCTATTATACACTTTAGACTTGGGTCACATCACAGCTGACGAAAATTTTGTAAATCGTGGTTGCATGTTTACGCATTAAAATTCCATTCATACCCAATGCGTCACAATTGCACCTGACGAAAGTGAAACTTAAACGTGGCAAAACACCTATACACGCACCTTTTACCGGCTTTTCATCCCCAATGCCGTCACACTTCTCTCAGGTGCGCCCGGCTCCAATGCTGCCTGAGGAAGATGATAGAAAATCCAATCAAGAAATTCTTACGAGTTCATTTAGGAATTTTCATCACTTGCTCTCCACGGTTATGCCTGTGTTCTCTACGCGAGCACAGAGACTGTAGAGTAGACAAGAGCGCAACAGGTTGTCCTGTCTCCTATTACGTCAAGTTTTTAGATCACATCCCACATCCAGTCTGCTGTCAAAATAAACGCAATGCTCACGGTTGCGCCTCAAGAGCAGAATTGAGCCCAGTCACCGTGGAGCACTTCCAAAATTCACGTTTTATATTTTAAATGGCGTTTGTTTGGGAGGAGAACTCTAATTAAATCCAAGCGTTGACATTTGAACACTTGTTCTTTCAAAATATTTTTGAAATTGTTTGAAATTGAAACAGCAATTCTTATTTATATTTGAATGAGACTTTATGTATAAATTATATGTAACCTTATATGTAACCTAATACAAGCATCTAAACTATAACATCTTACCAGTTCGACATCCATACCCTGATCCTTGAGCACCTGCTTTGTCATGTAAGCATCAATCAACAGCTCTAAAATATGTGTGATTCTGTCAACCTAAATCTTGAGATTTCACCGGGTGTACATGTAATTCAATTCAAATTTGAAATACTACAGTAAATTGATTTTACTTTGAAAGTCCAACCGGGTGAGTTTGGTGTATAAAGGCAGGCTTGCTACCACACGTAGACCTCAATCGCTTCTCCGCACACACGCCGCCGGAATTGACATGTTTCCTTTATCCGGGCACGGCGCCAGGATTTTTTTTTCTTCCCCGGGGCTAAGGGGTGGCATGACCAATATGTTGGGATGGTGCAGGGGGTGGGGAGTTTGCGGGTGGACGAATTTGCTAACTTTATTTACTTGAGAGGTTCTCTCGGGTTTTTTTTTCCCAATAAAAGCATGATACACATCACAACCATAAGGCCGGAAGTCTGGAACTGCCAATGTGGGGAAAAAACATTTTGACTCAAAGTCTTTCGAACATATTTGCATTTAAATACTTAAAACAGCATTTTCCAGACAACGCCATGGGGTTTTTATTTGTGTTCATTAGAATAATAAGGCACAGTACGAATAAGGGTACATCATTAAAATGTTTTCTTTTTTGCAAATGTTTCTGTTTGTCTATTATTCTACTTATTTTTTTAATATTTATCGTGCGTGTTTGAAATAAAAATTGCTAACTATCCGTGTCTGTGAAAGGAGTTATGGGACAATCTTTTTTAAAACAAACACACGGCGGCACTCCATTTCTGTGGTGCTTGCTAGCAAACGATTTGAACAAATGGGATGTTTTGTGTATGCATCTGTGTGGCTGATTTTTGTCATGATATGCACACTTTGTCATCAGGTGGCAAAAAATCCGTAAAACCGGGCTAATGATACACAAAAGAACAATCACAAAATTGTTACCTTTAAATCTGAATTTTAACTTACCCCCCTTCTGAAATCGGGTCTTCAGTTTAGCAAGGCAGTGGAATCTCACTTCAATTCCATTTTTTTTTCGTTTTGCCCGATAGGCCACACATATCGGTTATTTTCAAGCAGTGTGAACAGTACAATTACATATTTTTTAAATCCTTCCTGAGCCTCTTTCATATATGGATATAAATTGGACATGTCTGTGATGCGTCTGCAGTATGAACGCTCATCCACTCACATCTGACCTATACGTCGTCAAAAGCCCAATATAAAATTCCGTGCAGGTGGGACGGAGAGCCCAGGAGACCACTGATATTGTCCGTGAATCTGCAAAGTTTTTTTGAGTAACCGTTGTTGTCTTTGCATTTGATTTTAATTCCACTTGAAACATGAAGCAAAAAGTTGCCGTATGAGGTGATAGTAGTAATTCAGCCAAGCAGACGGTTCATTTATTATGCGCGAGAATGACGTGACATCATCTTTAGTAGTCGCTATTAAATGAGGAGATCGAGAAGCATTGCCTCATATCCCTAAAATATTTATGCCTCCTCCCGACTCGTTACTCTGGTGATATGACATGAGAAAATGAGCCTGTACATGCAGGACCATATTTACTTACGTAAACACTGCTCTTTTTTTGTACACGACACTCGACATCGTGCTTTGTACGGAAGCCTATCACATCAGCATCACGGATGCACATTTTTATCGCAACGAGTACACAAAAAGATCAGGCAACAAGAAATAAGACTAATGTAATACTACGGTACAATCAGAGGTGATTCTCGTCACAAGGCAATCCAGGCAGCTCCTTGGGACCCCCAAGAGAGTGGTTGAAAGATTTTAGTTTGAAGACTTTTATTTTGAACCATGACTGTGTGTTAATTGACACTTTCATCGCCTTGTATTTTTTGTATTGTGCTAATTTACTTAAGTACTTCCCAGCAGCAAAAGTGGTTGTGTGCATTCGTCCTTTCCATCAGGCTGGAGCCTCTCCCAAATGGACACTCCCTTGAAAACAAATGACAAAGAGAATCAATTAATTCCTCAAACCATAACTTCATTTTGATATGTATTAATATTTACAGACTTCTTGCTCTGGATTTGTCCCACCTGTGCACAAACTTTCATGGAAATTGTTGGTAAACCACCAAATAAAAAGAACGAAAACAATACCACCCCCTTAGTGTTTGGTGGTGCTCATAATAAACATATTTTGAGACAAATTACCTGAATGAATCTCCCTTTCAAAGCAGAATTGTTTACTTTTGTGTTGGTACTCAAATGACTGCAGGCTGATCCAAAACTGAATGGGATCCGGCCATTTGTTTGTTCGCATCAAGAAAGCTTTATTTGCCCAATAAAGAGTGCCATTATTGTTGTCTCAATATTAGGTCAGTGACATCAGAGTATTTAAAAGGAAGGTTTTGTCACAGGTTAGCCTCATTGTCAGAGGTTAGGGCAATGCATAAATCTATAATCATCGTGTTTGTGCTGAGTTCAGAGGGGAAATCCCATGAGGATCAGCAACCTAGATATGGTCGGTTCAACCCAAAAGGGAATTTTCCTTCAAGCATCATTTCCACGGTCCATTTGACTCACCTAGTATGGTTGCCACATCAAACAGCACAAATATTTGGGGTTATTTAAAAAACAGTGGCCCTCAAATGGAAATATTGTCAAAGGACAGGAAGGAACAGCAAAATCAACGCATATAAACCATTAAGAATGCCGCTGATAGTCAACAGGAAGTCATGTATTCTAATCACCCGTCACACAAAAAGGAGTTTCATGACTATATGTGCCAATTTCAACGCTTCAATGAGACAAGACAGATTTCCAAGATGACATAAATAGTCCAGAATAAAAAGTAATGAAAGTCTTCAATTCGTGAACATTTGATATTTTGGAATTTTGGAATCTGAAATTAAATGATAAAATGATCTAAATTCAAGCACAATGCATTTTCAGACTTTGTGGTCAAGAAGCAAGGGCCAGTAACATTCCTGGAAGGCAGGGGTGTCCAATTCCAGTCCTCAGCGGATCCTATCGAGCATGTTTTAGACGTATCCCTCCTCCAACACACCTAATTCAAATGATCAGGATTATGATCAGGTTTCTCAGAGGGGACACCTTTGCTGTGAGGTGTCCCTTAATGTAATTTAATTGTAGCGCAAATGTGATGACTTTTTCATCTACAGTTTAGTTTTTGTGTTGCATTTGTTTTCATATTAGATATCATATTTAGATTTAGGTTCATCTTTTTGTACCATTGCAAATTTTTTTCTTGCAATAACTGCATGGTTGTGACTCATTGACACGAGCATCTACACCAGCGGTCATGGTGCACATGGTCAATAATCGATTGACGATCGATCATCATAATCGATCATTATCACGACTTAACATTGATTTTAAATTGCGAGTCCCCTAACTGAGCCACTACATTATCATGGTGTAGAGGTTTGTCTTTCCCAATGACCCGAGGAGCTAAGTTGTCTGGGGCTTTATGCCTCTGACAGGGTCATCCAAGTCAAATAGGTCCTAGGTGAGGGACCAGGAAAAGCATGGCTCAAAAGACCCCCCATGATGAAGAATGACATTGAAAGACATTTTCCCTTGCCCGAACGTGGGTCACAGGGTTCCCGCCCCTCTGGAACCAAGCCTGGAAATGGGGCTCGAAGGCGAGCGCCTGGTGTCCGGGCCTGCACCCATGGGGCCTGGTGAGGCTCAGCTCAAAGGGACCACATGGGTCCTCCTTCTCATGGGTTCATAGGGGCCATAGGGGTCGGGTGCAATGTGAGCTGGGCTGTGGCCAGAGGCAGGAACCTTGGTGGTCTGATCCCCGCCTAGAGAAGCTGGCTCTGGGGAGATGGAATTACACCTTTCTGACAGGTAAAGAGCCCGAGGTGGTGTGCGAGGTTCCCCCTGGATAAAGTCGGGCTTGCCTCGACACATAGCTTGTGCTCTGGGACCTGTCCTCTTGAGGGGGATTGGACTCTCTTCCACTCTGGAGTTACGCATGGAAAGATGCACGGAGCAGGTGTTGGCATACTTATTAACCCGTGGCTTGATGCCTGTACATTGGCGTTCATCCCAATGGATGAGAGGGGAGCCTCTATCTGCCTTCAGGTCGGGTCCTAATTGTTGTTTGTGTTTATCCACTAAGCAATTTTTAACAATGTGAAGCACTTTAAGTTCCATGGTCAAGTATGACAAGCGCTTTACAAATGAAGTTTGATTGATTGATTAATTGATCCTGTGCTAGTCAAAGATTGTCCAACACAAACACCATGTACAAACATGAGGGTGTCCATACATGCACTTGAGCCCAGGACATCCTAGGCTGCAGTTCGTTGATAGATTTTGTGGTTTTGTCATCGAACTTGCAACCACATGTCTTGAAGACACGAACAGAAATGTCAACTGATGAGAATCTTGCGGTGGTTTGGCACCGATAGTGGGGGAAGTTTCAACTGGGTTGTGTCAACCACAAAAAGTGGTTCAAAAATGCATGCATTGAAAGTTTTTAATAACGAAAAAAAAAAAAAAATTGTGCCAACTGGATCAAATGTTGGTCATTTGTTGCTGACGGATGCACGCTTACAGCCGCAAACCAACAATAACAATGTGCCAAGTGTTTATAGTCGCACAAAAGATAGAAATGTATGATTTTCAGAGGTGGGCATTCTGTGAGTTTTGACGGAAGGTCCTTCAGTCTGT